TTCTCGTCCTTCCCCTTCCTTCCTCCCCCTCATCATTGTCCTCTTCCTCTTCCTCTTACTCCTCATCCTCCCCCTCCTCCTCCCCCTCCTCCCCACCTCCTCCCGCCTCTCCCCCGCATGCCCGTAGTCGCCGTGGGAAGGCCCTAAACGTGGACCGACCGGTGCCGAGTGCCCGCTTTGGGTTTTGCGACTCAGTGACCCCTTCTGGTTTCTATGAAGCAGGCACGGGGCAGGGAGGCCCGTAGGCATTCTGTTCACCGTGCATGTCGTTAGCTTTGTCCACGGGCGCCGAGAACTAGCAGGGACTTTCTCACGATGCCACCTGTATGCGCGACCACTGAGATGTCAGCAAGGAGAGGCCCGGGTGCTCACATCGCGCCCCCTCCTGGCCACGGCTTGGAATAAATTTGGCGACAGCACAGAGAGAGTGGAACGATGCAGAGGCGCGCACATGCACACGTGCGCCATGACCAGCAGGAAATAGCAGCGAGAGGTTCAGCTTCAGAGTGGCTTAGTGCTTCACTCGCCTACAGTAGGTTCATGCGGCGTTGTCGCGCCGGCGACGCCAGCAAAGGCGTTCAAGCTTGAATTCCTGCGACGCGGAAGCACCAGTGGACATGGTAACGTCATTGGACCCGCCCGACCTCAGCCTTGAACGATCGGGGCCGCGATCGATTCAAGGATGAACGGTCGACGCGGTGTCGAAAACCTTAGCGCGCGCCGACGCCGCACGAACCACGTAAGAGGGACCGTTCGCCGGAGTGACCTTTGGTGCGGGCACAGATGGGCCCCCAGACGGCTGAATGTGAAGCGGTAGCAGCGGCTCGCGTGCCCAGGTTTGGCCACCCCGCGTCCCGGGTTGAGCCGCGTACCCAAGGCCACTCTTGCCTAGGGTCACTCTTGCGCGTGCGGCCGAGAGCCTGCCGCAGGGCACAGCATCACAGTCAACCCGCACCATAAGGATGGGCAACCTTCCCAAGGATACCCTTGCATCCTTGTCCCTTCGGCCCATCCTTGGCCACTTTCTCTGGCCGCGCCCCGCTCGAAAAGCATCGGAATGGCCCCCCAAGGCCCTTGCATCCTTACCGCGAATCCTTACTATACGGGTTGATTGTACAGTTCGAGGCGCAGGCAGGGAGGGCGGAGGCGCAGCCCCCCCCCCTTCGCAGGCGCTGCGCGCGCTCCACGCGGGAGAGCGGCGCGGCCGACGCCGCCCGGGCGAGGAGGGGCGGCCGCCGCCGTGCGGCGTCGTCCTCGGGGGCTGCCCGGGCCGTCGGGCCTGCCGCGGCCTTCGGTCCTCCTCGGAGCCTGCCCTCCTCGGGTCCTCGGCGGCCAAAGAGCAAACGACACCACCCCACCTGCGGCCCTCCATGTTCGGCACGAATGAAATGGGTACGGAAAGAATGGGTACAATGCCCAACAGCAGCTCCTGTTCAATTTGGACAGGACTCGCTGTCCACGCCGCCGCGGCCTGTGTCCATTCGAGACACGTGGCCGCCTGCCCAACAGCGGCCGCTGTTGGTTTTGGAGAAGATTTGTTGTTCGGCATTGTATCCTTTTTTTCTGTGCCCATTTCGGGCGTCCAAACATGTTGCGCTGCGGCGCATCGGGGGCCGTAACGTATGCCGCGCAAAGAACCCACGCCAGGTTTGGTTGGATACGCTAGGCCCCGTGGGGCCGTATGCCACGAACAAAAACCCAGGCCAGGTTTGGTTGGATACGCTAAGCCCCGTGGGGCCGTGGTGTCGCTTGTTTTCTTGTCCATTCTCTATCGTTGATCTTCCTCGATGCTGTCCAGACAGCTCAGAGGGGGGTTGGAGATTGGATGGGATCGGAGCAGGTCTTGCTGCGCCGCCGATGCACCGGCGATGCGGCGCGGTTCTTTGCGTAGTACCCCGGAACTGCGGGTGCGAGTGAGGGGGCGGCGGGGTTTGTCGGCAGCTTGCGAGGATCTGAAGAAGCCCGCCGCAGGCGCCGATGTCTTGAACACATTGAATCACATTGCACAACGAGCCCGCCGCAGGCGCCGAACTTTCGCCAAAGCAATGTGGGTTGGTCGCGGGGTTGGTCGCGGGGTGGGTCGCGGACGGGTCGCGAGCGAGGATGACGACAACAACAACAATCATTTTAAGACGGTTTGCTCTTATCTGTTCGCGTGCCATTTAACCCGTATATCCGAAACCCTCGGTACCCGCCCTCTTCGTCTTCGATTATACCCCACTTGGGGGTATATCTTCCCTACGTAGCACCCCGCAGTTGCGGATAAGAGTGATGGAGCGGTGGGGACGTCCGCAGTCTGCGAGGCTCTGAAGAGGCCCGCTGCAGGCGCTTAACTTTTACAAATTATACAATGAGCCCGCCGCAGGCGCCGATTTTTCCGTTAAAGTAATCGGAGTGGGTCGCGGGTGGGTCGCGGGTGGGTCGCGGGCGGGTCGCGGACGGGTCGCGGGGTGGGTCGCGGGTGGGTCGCGGGTGGGTCGCGGGCGGGTCGCGGGTGGGTCGCGGGCGGGTCGCGGGTGGGACGACGACAGTAACAACGCAACGTAGCGCAACAACAATAAGCAGCATCCGCGCCGCTGAGTCCCACTTCAGCCACGCACCCAGGGATTATGTAAGACCGTTCGGCCCCCTCACTCTGACCTGCCGCGTGTAGTTGGTGCAGTCCCTTAAACAGGGGAAGGAGGGAAGAAGTTAAGAGACAAGGGGGAGGGCGAAGGATGGATCACGACAGAGACGTGCAGGAGAAGCGTTAGGAGCAGGAGCACAAGCGGCAGAACCAGACTGGCGTGTCGGGCGGACGGACCCTAACGGGCAGGTCGGCGGGCAGGCCCAGAAGGTCAGGTCGAGCGGGCGGGTCGCTAAAGCGTCAACCCATCATGAAGGAAGTTTCGAGAGATAGCGCGATTCCCAAGTAGATCTTTAGGACATCCAACTCGAGATCGTGATTCGAGAGTCTTGGGGGCAAGGCGCCGCAATACATGGCGGGGAAGTGCCGAAGTCCCACGCGAGAGCGCGAATTTGAAATACTCTGTGAGGAAGTATTCGGCGGGAGCCGTTGAATTCTCATTTCTGAAGAATAATTATTGTTGATCCCCCCCAAACGGTGCATACTGTTTTTTCTCAATCAAAGAGTGCCCCTCGACGCTCGCACCCTGTTTTTTGACAGGGAAAGTCTTCCTGCTCAAACTGGGCCCGTGGCCCCCCGGGTTACAACAACAACGGCTCCCGCTTGAGACTTCCTTACAATTTAGCCAGGACCCCCGCTCCCGACCGAGACTGTCTCGCATTTTATTCAGGAATCGCGCTCTCGTTTGGGACTTCCTTATAATTTATTCAAGAATCGCTCTCCCGGCGCTCTGGAGTCGCGCTCTCGCTGGAGACTTGCTTGCAACTTGCTGAAGAATGGCCTTGCGTTGGAATTTCTTGCAATTTGTCCAAGCGCCGCGCTCCCGACACCCAGGCACCCAGGAATCGCGCCGTTGTGGGCCCATGTGCGTGCCCTTCGTGGCCCCGCTGTCGCCATTTGTGTCCCCCACACTGTCCTACGTGGCCCAGTTGCTACCCTCAGTGGCCCCATAGTTGCCTTCTGTGGCCCCGCATTATCTGCACTTCGTGGCCCCCGCTCGTTCGCGCTCTCATACGCATTCCCTTCGTGTCCCCGCTGTCGCCCTTCTTGGCCTACTTCGTGCCCTTCGTGGCCCTGCTGTCGTTCTCTCTCGCTCTCGCTTCCGCTCGTCGTCGCCGTCGTCGTCGTCGTCGTCGCCGTCGTCTTCGACGTCGTCGTCGTCGTCGTCGTCGTCGTCGTCGTCGTCGTCGTGGTCGGTCCCCTGTCCGTCCCTCTTGGGGTCGGGTCGACGGTCCGCGGCCGCCCCGCCGATCAGCGCTGCCGCTGGCCAGGCCGACGGTCCGCGGCCGCCCCGCCGCTTGCCGGGGTCCGGCCTGCAGGGAAGAAAGGTATGCCCCCCAAAAGGGGTTCGATCGAAGACGAAGAGGGCGGGTATCGAGGATTTGGGAAATACGCGTTCTTGGACACTCGAGCATATAAAGGGCGAACAGTCTTTAAATAATTATTATTGTTGTTGTTGTTGTTGTTGAACTTTCACTACTGAAGAACAAGTTCTGTTGAATCCCCCCCTCCAGTGACCATTGTAGTTTTTTCCGGAGAGGGCGGGGGCCCAGGGATGTCTTTTAGAGGTTTACCTCCGGAATTGACTTGAAGGAGGCCGGCGGAATTATTTTGCGATAGATGACAAGTTTGAAGGAGGCCGGCGGACTTATTTTGGAGGATGTCTCGAACGAAACGCTTGTTTTTCAGAATTTGTTGATGTCTCGAGCGAAACGCTTGTTTTGTGTTATAGATTGTCCTCTCCTGGGGACCAAAATTCAGATGATCTCTCAAGTGAAATGCTTGTTTTCACGTGCCCAGGTCTTGAGGATGTCTCGAGCGAGACGCTTGGTTTCACGCCTCCAGGTTGCCCAGGCAGAGGTCTAGCGCCAGGATTTGTTGAGGATGTCTCGAGCGACACGCTTCGTTTCACGCGTCCTCGTCGCCCAGGCGGACGTCTAGCATGAGGATGTGTTGAGGAAGTCTCGATCGAGATGCTTGTTTTCAGTTGTCCAGGTTGCCCAGGCGGATGCCTAGCATGAGGATGTGTTGAGAATGTCTCGAGAGGCACGCTTGTTTTCACGTGTCCAGGTCGCCCAGGCGGATGTCTAACATGAAGATGCGATGAGGATGTCTCGAGCGAGACGTTTGCTTTCACGTGTACAGGTCGCCCAGGCGGATGTCTAGAATGAGGAGGTGTTGAAAACGTCTCGAGCGAAACGCTTGTTTTCACGTGCCCAGGTCACCCAGGCAGACGTCTCACATGAAGATGTGTTGAGGATGTCTCGAGCGAATCACTTGTTTTCACGTGTCCAGTTCGCCCAGGCGGATGTCTAGCATGAGAATGTGTTGAGCGAAACGCTTGTTTTCACGTGTCCAGGTCGCTCAGGCGGATGTATAGCATGAGGATTTTGACAGGATGTCTCGAGTCAAACGCTTGTCCCCAGCACGTTCCGAGGTGCGTCCCCTTGGCACGTCCCGCGGTGCGTCCCCATGGCACGTCCCCTGGCACGTCGCTTGGCGCGTCCCTTGAAACGTTCCGCGGCGCGTCCTCCTGGCATGTCCCCCTGTCAATTAGCTCTGGGGCAGCTACTATGTGTTCAGGCAGCTCGAGCTTAAGATCCAGATCAGTTCGGTCAGGACTCGGATGCAAAGGAGGACTCGATCCACGACGCTATAGAGCACATCCGCGGCATGGCACATCGCAATTCAGCACGGCGCAGCACAGCACAGACTTCGGCACGGTACATCAAGATCGATCCACTCAGCATTGCAACCTGGCACGTTCCTTGGCACGTTCCGTGGGGCGTCCCTTGGCGAGTCCCACTGGCACGTTGCGTGGCTCGTCCCCTGGCACATCCCGTGGCACATCCATGGGCACGTTCCGTAGCGCGTCCCCTTGGCACGTCCCGCGATGCGACCCCATGGCACGTCCCCTGGCACGTCGCCTGGTGCGTCCCTTGGGACGTTCCGCGGCGCGTCCTCCTGGCATGTCCCCCTGTCAATTAGCTCTGGGCCAGCTACTATGTGCTCAGGCAGCTGGAGCTTAAGATCCAGAGCAGTTCGGTCAGGACTCGGATGCAAAGGAGGACTCGATCCACAACGCTATAGAGCACAATCGCGGCATGGCACATCGCAATTCAGCACGGTGCTGCACAGCACAGCCCTCGGCAGGGTACATCAAGATCGATACACTCAGCATTGCATGTGCCCGTCGCCCAATCAGGTGGCTTTGAAACGTTGCCATGCCTTACATTTCTGTATTCCTTTCTGGGTTCGTGGGTCGACACTGCTCCCGGAACGGGCATAGGCCCAGGGTTCTCTTTTATTTTTGTAAAATAAAGGCTGGGTCCTTATTTGCGACGGGCGGGCGAATTTGTTGTAGTGGCCTCCGGCCAGTGCCGCCGATCCGTGGCGCTCCCGATGCTGATGGGAATGGATGACCGTGTATGCTGAAGATAAAGCCCTCGTTCGAGACATCCTCATAAGAGATTTGAGAGTTTGGGTTCCGAGCCCATGAAGGATCCACCGGCTGGAGGACTGAGGCTCAGGGGATTGAGCAAGGGACCTCGGAAAGCGTCTTGGGGCTCGTTTTGGGGCCTCTTGGGCCTTGTTTTG